TATCTCAGTCAATCCCTTTCTATATATCTGTCTATCTATAAAAACAGAAATTAGCAATGAAATTCTACCAATTTAGGGACCATAATCTATTTTGTTTCATGCAAATGCGGTGATATTATAGAAGTTATAAGTAATTCTCAATTAGCAGTTTATTTCAACCCATACAGTATTTTCTCCACCCTCTCTCTCTCTCTCTCTCTCTCTCTATATATATATATATATATATATAATCAGAACTAAAAACACCCATAACAATATTTCAGAAGCTGGCATATATAAAATAAACTGCTAAAACCTTACAATACACTGGGAGAACGTGCAGAAATTTAAAAAAAAAACGTATCTATGAACATAAAAGGGACCTTATACATAAGAATTTATCAAATGCACTAGTCATACACAGAAATAAATTCAACCACAAAGTTGATCTAAAAATGTCATACTTATCAAAAGAGAAAGTAATTTATTCAGATAGAAAATTCTTGAGAGCGCTGCTATCGAATCTTATGAAAATATAAATGGACGTTTTTTGGGGTTTTTTTTTCCAATCTCACCTTTCCTGAAAGAATTACTATACACGACCACAAATGTTGAAAAGTCAACAGTAAACGGTTAATTCTATTACCTCATGTTTTTTATTCTTAAACTTTTACTCGGAATCTATATCATACTAATACGCATATAAGTTAATCCTAAGGAGCCAGGCAAACCTACCTAGGTTTCAGCTAAACGGATCTTCAGGGTAAAGCCTGCTTTCATTTCTCTGATTACAATTTCCGCTCCAAAACGTATTTCAAAACTTGAATGCACCTCGTATAGCAGGAACATCAGACCAGATGTGGCAGGAATATTCCGTCCTTGAAACTATTTTGCGCGCGGAAATCAGATGCTCATACAAGTTAATTCGGAAGCAGTCTGGAGCATTTCATACGTTTCTGTAGTATTTTTGCCTAGTTTAACACAAAACTTTATATTGCATAGCTAGCTTCTAAATTGTCTTCTCGTCCTGACTGCATTCCGTAAACTTGTCCACTGTGACAAGCAGTGTTTAGTAAAGTGTGTTCAAAGGGCTTTTACACACCGTCTCGTTCAATCTGAATATAACACAAGTTGGGTAGTCAATCTATTAGATGTACATCGCTCATCGTATCTCACATCTTGTCCACCGTCCTTGAACACCTTTTGCCCACGGAAATCATTTAATCCATAAGAAGTCTGGGGCATTTCATACGTTTCTGTAGCATTTTTGATCAGTTTAACACACAACTTTATATTGCATAGCTAGCTTCTAAATTGTCTTCTCGTCCTGACTGCATTCCGTAAACTTGTCCACTGTGACAAGCAGTATATTTAGTAAAGTGTGTTCAAAGGGCTTTTTTACACACCGTCTCATAAAATTTTGAATATAACATGTTGGGTAGTCAATCTATTAGATGTACATCGCTCATCGTATTCATCTTGTCCACCGTCCTTGAACACCTTTTGCCCACAAAATCATTTAATCCATAAGAAGTCTAATTATTTCATACGTTCTTCTTGTAGCATTTTGATCAGTTTAATACAACAACTTTATATTGCATAGCTAGCTTCTAAATTGTCTTTTCTCGTCCTGACTGCATTGTAAACTTGTCCATTGTGACAAGCAGTTTTTAGTAAAGTGTGTTCAAAATAAATTTTTACACACCGTTCGTTCAATCTGAATATAAACAAGTTGGGTAGTCAATTTATTAGATGTACATCGCTCATCGTATCTCACATCTTGTAAAACTGTTGTCCTTGAACACCTTTTGCCCACGGAAATCATTTAATCCATAAGAAGTCTGGGGCATTTCATACGTTTCTGTAGCTTTTTTGATCAGTTTAACACACAACTTTATATTGCATAGCTAGCTTCTAAATTGTCTTCTTGTCCTGACTGCAATTCTGTAAAGTTATCGGCTCTCACAAGCAGTGTTTAATAAGATATGTTCAAGGGACTTTCAGTCTAGAATAATACAAGTTGGGCAGTCAACTTATTAGAAGTATATCAATTATATAGTAAAACTACGATAATTTAGGAAAGTTATAATTGTTTCTCTAAAAAATGTCTTAAATCAAATCTTGAATGCACAACGCATCTTTTCAATCAAATTAATATTTATAATATATTTACATGTGTTATGCTGTTTCTATCTTGACTCCTGTTTGTAGTTAGTACAATACAACATTAATTCCTCCGAACAACAAAGTGAGACATTTATAATTTGTATATATACACCCTTGTGCAAATTAATTGAAGCAAAATGAATAATTACGTTATTATTTACTTTTTTCGTATTTTTCCAATGAAACATTGCACATGTTAGTGATTCGTACGTCCAGATGGATCACAGATTCTCGATTGGATTTAAATCAGGAGAGTTTCCGAGCCAGTCGATATTACTTTGATTTGATCACTGGTCATTGTGTTCGCGCAGCGTTACAATTTTCGTACTCCTTGGAGTAACGTCCATCGGAGACCATGACCGTAGGACAACTAATCGACAGTCGAGACAATAGCGTCTGGGCGAGATAAAATTCTAATGCCATCAAAGATGATGCAATATTTTTCAAGGCTAAACAAATTTCATTATACACCCCGAAATTAGTTTCATATTACTGCACACCACAGCAAATGACCTAATCTGAGGTAAATAATAGAAATCGATTACACCCTTGTCACCCATGTAAAAAACTTCATCGTATAAAATAAAGGAAACTAAAGGCCGTTTCAATTAATTTGCAACAAGGGTATATATATATATATATATATATATATATATATATATATATATGTATGTATGAAATACATTCATACAAAAAAACAGATGTAGAAAGAAGATGTAATTTAAATGACGAGAATACATCTTCGCAAAACAAATTTAAATTTTACATTAACCCCGAACCTGTAGATGAATGTTATGATCCATGTTAATAAAAGTTCACAAAAGGTCTTTTTTAGTTTTTACAAGCTTTCGTCTGTTCCTTTGCACAGACATCCACAGGTATGGAAATAGATTTCTTCTTGTTTTTTACTTATCGGTAATAACAGGACAACGAAAATAGAGATGTAATCCGAAAAAATGCTATGAGTTATGTGTTATTGTTAATTGTGAGAATTTTTTTTTTCTTCTTATTTTATAAACAGGGATCATAACATTCATCTACAGGTTCGGGGTTAATGTACTTTATTAAATTTGTTTGCGAAGATGTATTCTCGCCATTTATATCATTAACTTTATATCTGTTTTTTGTATGAATGATTCATGTAATGTAAATTGAATTGCAAAAACAATACTTGATATATATATATATATATATATATATATATATATTACAATGAATCATTCATACTAAAAGTATATTGTAAAGTTAATGCTATAAAATGGCGAAATCCCTTGGTTAACAAAATTTCAACGGTGCATTAATCTACTAATCACTCGATGAATGTTATGATATGGATTGCTTTTTTAAAATTATGAATGTATAAGGTCTTTCTTTAAATAAAATAAACTTCGTTGTACATTCAATCATCTTCAGGCATGGGAATTATTTTCTTTGGGGTAAAATTCAGGTAGCATCCGAGACAAAAATATAATGCGAATCGAATTTTTTTTAGCGAATAAAATGTTGCACGTTCCATAAGTTTGTATCCGTTATCATTTTAACATATTTAAAAAAAAAAAATACATATGTTTAGATAATTTTTTAAATGTGGAAATAATCAAAGATGTACACAAACAACACACTTCGGAATGGGATCACACATATATCGACAGGATGAGGGCTTAGTTAATATTTCATTTTTATCACCAGCAATGGCGAATATATACATGAAATACTTTGAGAAAATGGCATTAGAATCTATATCTCTAAAATCAACTCTATGGTTAAGGTATATAGATGACACCTTCATACTCTGCCACACCAGGAAGATGTTCAGGTTCTACTGGACCATGTGAACTCAATAAGACCTTCGATACAGTTCACAATGGAGAAAGAGAGTATCAACATTACCCCATTCCTGGATGTTCTAATATCTCAAACAGAGCATGGGTTTAAGACATCCGTATACCTTAAACCGACATTCACCAGACAGTACCTCAATTTCAACTCCCTCCATCGATACAGCGTAAAGAAAGGGATCGCCCGCTGCTTACAACACCGAGCAAAAGTCATAAGTGGCGACCCAGAGACATTAGATAAAGAATTGGTGAGTATAAGCAGTACCCTACAACGTAACAACTACCCTGGGCACATGGCAGCAACCCCAAAAAAACTGGGATAGGCGGGTACAAGAGGAGGAGGACAACAACACTCAGAAACAACACTCCGCCTGACTTATGTGAATGGGTTATCAGAGAAAATACAAAGGATCTGCGGTCCATATAACATCAGGACAACCTTCAAAAGCTTGACGACACTTCGCAGATATCTCTCCCGAGTAAGACTCCTCCCATAGAGGAGAACATGACTAAAGACTGTGTGTACACCATCCTGTGCAGCTGTGGAAAGAAATATAAAGGGGAGACAGGCTGCCCTCTTAAAGTAAGGCTTCAAGAACACCAAAAAGCTGTAACAGGAGAGGAAGTGGAAAAATCAGGCGTGGCTGACCACATATGGAGAAAAAGGAGATCACCACCCTATGTGGGATCAGGTTGAAATCATAGACAAAGAATATCATTGGAAAATTCGTAAACTTAATGAATCAGCACATATGTTAGGCCACAAAAATCTCCCGAGCCGACCAAACATAAAAATGCATACAATATGAGAACCAGTAATTAGGAGTGCCAGAGAAAAGCAATAATAACAACGAAAATTGCAATATGAGCTTTGGTAAAAACCATGCAGTGATAAAAAAAATTGCAATATAAGGATAAATAAAAAATGGTATAAAGAAATCGGAGATTCCTGGGGTTTATAATACCCAGAAATTCATACGCATATGTCACTTAGGACAAGATTCAGTGGATAAAGGGTCAGTTAATAGAATGAAAGAAAAAAATGATTTGAAAAAATGAATAAATGAAAAATAAATAAAGAAAAAATATATAAAGTATAAATTGAAATAAAGTGAAAATGGAAGAAAAAATAAAACGCAGACAGAGACAATCAGTGAAAGGAAAGAAAGAATGAATGAAAGACTGAATGAAAGACTGAATGAAAGACTGAATGAATGAAAGACAGAAAAAATTGAAGAGAATGAACAAATAAAAACAATAAATAAAAAATATATAAAAAACAAACTGAAAGAAAGAAAGAGAAAAAGGGAAGTTAAATAAAAAGAAAAAAGTCAGATACAGACAAACAGTGGAACGAAAAAAGGAATGAAGGTAAAAATGAATGACTGAAGGACAAAAAGAACTGAATAAATGAACAAAAAATAAAGAAAGGAAGAAAATATAAAGAACAAATTGATAGAAAGAAACATTTTAAGCAAACACAAAGAAAAAGAAAAAGAAATAGAGAGACAAACACTGAAACGAAAGAAAGAATGAACGAATGGAAAAAATGAACAAATAAAAAACAGAGAAGCAAAAATACACAAAGAACAAATTGTAAGAAAGAAAAACATGGAAGGAAATTTTCTAAAAAAAGAAAATTTTCTTGGGATCATGATAGACTGAAAGAATGAATGAAAGACTTGGGAATTTAAAAAAGTATATTTTAAAAAACAAAAGAAAAGATAGAAAGAAAAAAGAATAAAAAAAAGATGGAAAGAAACAAGAATAAAGAGAAAGAAAAGATAGAAAGAAAAAAGAAAAAAGAAAGAAAAGATAGAAAGAAAAAAGAAAAAAGAAAGAAAAGATAGAAAGAAAAAAATAAAAAGAAAGAAAAATAAAAAGAAAAAAGAATAAAAAAAAATCAGAATTTTCCTGAGTAAAAAGAAAAGAAAAGAATAAAAAAAAAAGATAGAAAGAAAAAGAAAGAAAAGATAGAAAAAAAAGTAAAAAAAAAAAAAAAAAAAAAAAAAGAATATTGAAAAAGAAAAGACAGTTTTGTTTAAAAAAACTATAAATAAAAAAAAAGAAAAGAATAAAAAAAGAAAGAAAAAAAAGAAAAACTAAAAATAAAGAGAGAAAAATTTAAATGGTAAAAAAAAAAAAAGAAAAAAATTGAAAAAGAAAATCAAAAAAAATGATCTTCGAAAGAAAAGATCCTGTTTAAAAGGATAAAAAAAAAATTTCAGATGAAAAAAAAAGCAAAAAAAAAAGAAAGAAAAGATGGAAAGAAAACAGAATAAAAAGAAAGAAAAGAAAAAAAAAAAAAAAGGTCAAAAAGATAGGAAAATGAATAAAAGAGAGAAACGATTATTGAAAATTAAAAAAAAGAAAAAAAGATGGAAAAGAAAATATAAAAATTAAAGAAAAGATAAAAAAAAAAAAAAACAAAGAAAAGAAAAAAAAAATGAATAAAAAAAGAATTTATAGAAAAGAAAAAAAAAATTTTAAATTTTGAATGATTAAATTTTGATGTAAAAAAAAAAATTAAAAAAAAAAATAGAAAAAATTAAAATCAATATCAAAAAGAAAAAGAAAAAAGAATAAAAAAATATTTTTGTCATTAAAAAGAAAGAAAACATGGAAAGATTTTTAAAGAAAAAAAGAAGAAAAAAGAAAAGAAAATAAAAAATTTTTTGTATTGAAAGTAAAAAGCATAAAAAGATAGAAATAAAAACAATTGAAAGAAGAGATAGAAAAAAAGAATAAAAAGAAAGAAAAGATGGAATGTAAAAAGAATAAAAAGAAAGAAAAGATGGAAAGGAAAAAGAATAAAAAGAAAGAAAAGATAGAAAAAAGAATAAAAAGATGGAAAGAAAAAAGAATAAAAAAAAGAAAAGATAAAAAAAGAATAAATGATAGAAAGGAAAAAGAATAAAAAGAAAGAAAAGATAGAAAAAAGAATAAAAAGAAAGAAACGATGGAAAGAAAAGAAGAAAAAGAAAGAAACGATGGAAAGAAAATAGAATGAAAACAAAGAAAAGAGAAAAAGAAAAAAGGATAAAAAGAAAGAAAAGAGAAAAAGAAAAAAACGATAAAAAGAAAGAAAAAAAGAATAAGAAAAAAGAACAGATTGCTACAACATTGAATAAGAATTAGACTAAATTTTTCATAAAAGCAAACAAAATTTATCCATGTAAAATGGCGGGTGTAAGGAAATAGAATAAATTACAAGGTGATATTTTCTATTTTTCTTTTTATATAACTGAGTAACAAGAAAGAGAAAATACGCAGTATATATGCAAAAATAATACGCCATTGTGTATGAGTGTTGTGTGTGCGTGTGTGTGTGTGTGTGTGTGAGAGAGAGAGAGAGAGAGAGAGAAGATTTAAAAGTCTCAAAATCGAATAAAATATTCCGAAATGTCCGAAAAATGTAATTGATTATCGGCATTGGGGATGTAAGAGAGAGAAGAGGGGGAAGAAGACATGACGTGTCCCGTTTTAAAGGTGATTGACAGCGCCACCTCATGTCTTATTGGCAGAACTGGCAATGCTATATGTGAATAAACCACAATTCCTTTAATAAATGTGGACAAATTAAGATTATTACTACTACTACTATTAAATGGAAAGAAACTTAAAAGCAACATGAAAGAAAAAATTACCTTAATGACAATGAATCTTTTTATAAATGTGGACGAATTAAGACTGTTACAACGACTACAAAGGAGAAGTGTGGAAATACGTCTTAATTGCTGTCGTTCCAAAGTTCAACCTGACCTTGGGTGGTAGCACCTGTTAGGGTCCAAGCTAGGAGGAAAATAGTTATTTCCAACAATACATTTTTGAAAAATTATTATAAGCAATACATATTTTTTTTAAATATTACAAGCAATACATTTTTGGAAAAAAACAAATTACATGCAATAGATTATTGAGGGAAAATTATTATTATTATTAAATTTGACTCTCGAAAACAAAACCTCTTTACAAAAATACGTCAATGAAACCTGATCTACAAAATGATTTCTTTCAAAGAATATATATTCTATAAACCTATCCTAAAAATCTTTTTGGCATTAAATAACCCACTGTGGTTGATATACCGTAAAACAAAATAAGCCGAAACGTTCATCTAGAAATTCATTTCTTACAAAGAATACACATTCTATTCATACGAACCTACCCTAAAAATCTTGTCGGCATTAAATAAGTCATTGAGGTTAATATGCTATATTTGAAAATAAACCCAAATTGATTTACATTTGAGAATAAAGAATACATATTCTATTCATACGAACCTATCCTAAAAATCTTGTTGGCATTAAATAACCCATTGAAGTAGATAAGCCGTAAAAAAAAATAAACCCAAAACCTGATCTACAAATTGATCTCTTAAAAAGAATGCATATTCTTTTCATACGAACCTATCCTAAATTCTTGTCGGCATTAAATAACCTATTGAGGTTGATATACCGTAAAACAAAACAAAAAAAAGATTATCATAACTGCTACTATTAGGTGGAAAACTATAAAAAGAAAAAAGCTAAAAGAAAGACTAATATCAAATTGAAAATAATAATGCGTTTCTTAAGGAATGTGGACAAATTAAGACTATTACAGCGGCTACTGTTAGTGGAAGACTATTTTTGAAGCACATGAAAGAAAGATTAAAATAAAATATCGAATAGTGATAGTTCTTGAACCATTTGCTCCTTCCGTCGGCATAGATGATGCTCGCCTCCAAGTAAGCAACCTATTGCGCCTTCTTGATCTCACGATTTTCACTGACATGAATTGCAAAGATTATATTGAATCAATTACTGGATCCGCAGCTAGGAATGTTGATTCCCTGTGTCACTGTCAGACAATATTTCCCACCAGAATCCATCTTGCACATTTATAATCTATCATTGCTACTCTACCTGGTCTGGTACTCCTGCCATGTATCTCGAGATTCTCAACAAAATCCAAAGAAGAGTCTGCAATGTTATCGGTCATGACCTGGCATCTCAACTTCAGTCACTTTCCCACCATCGTCGTCCTGGGTAAGACGATAAACTACGTCCAACAGCAAGGCCTCTGATTAGGAGGTTTTGATGAGCATGGAACCACCTCTTAATTGCTGGTGTTCTCAGGTCCACCCTGACCCGGGGCGGTAGCACCTGTTAGGGGTCCCAGCTATGGGCAAATAGTTAACACACAGACTATATCCGCGTCCTAAGTATGACGATAAATTACGTTCAACAGCAAGGCCTCTGATAATATGTTTTTGAAAAAATAATGTTGCCAGCTATATGTTTTTGAAAAAATAATATTACCAGTTATACATTTTGAGAAAAAAATATTAACAGAAATAGATTTTTGACAAAGCAAAAATATTGTCAGGAAAAAAATGTTGTCGGCATTAAATAACCGATTGAGGTTGATATGCCATAAAACAAAACAAACCAAAGCAAACTGATGAAACATTCAGCTTCCTCATCAGATGTTAACACCTCAAATTAATTGAAAAGAAGAGGAATAGAAAACAGGCATTTATTTAATACATTATTACAAAATTTTGTCGGCATTAAATAACCCATTGAGGTTGATATGCCGTAAAGCAAACGAAAGCAAACTGATGAAATATTCAGCTTCATTTTCAGATGTTAACACCTCAAATTAATTGAAAAGAGGGGAAATTTCTAAACAGGCATTTATTTAATACATTATTACAAAATTTTGTCGGCATTAAATAACCCATTGAGGTTGATATGCCGTAAAAGACAAACGAAAGCAAACTGATGAAACATTCAGTTTCATCATCAGATGTTAATTTTAACAAATTGGTTGAAAAGAGGAGGAATAAATAAAGGCATTTATTTAATAAATTATTACAAAATTTTGTCGGCATTAAATAATCCATTGAGCTTGATATCCCGTAAAGCAAACCAAACCAAACCCACCATCGTGACGTGGCATTTCTCTCTTGTTTCTGTAAATGTTTTCATGAGAATTGTTTCATTGGGATTTCCTTAGTACTTCGACCGTATGAATTAAAGTTTGTCACATAAGTCATATCCCTTTACTGATGAATGAAACTTTACTAGCTCGACGCAATCGTAGGTTCTATTTCAAAAGTTTCTTTTTTAATAGTCACCCTATAAAAGGCCTAAGAGCCATTCAAGGTAGGGGATGACTAAAGGAGTTTGTTGTATGAGCGGTAAGATTATGCACAGTTTATGAGGAAATGTAACGGTTAACCCGCGATGTGAAGAGGTTCAGCTTGTAGGGGTTGGGAAATCGTCCTCTTGGGAGTCGATTTGCACAAAGTAGCCGTTCGTAGGAAGAGGCCGTTCGAGTGGAACTTCCTTTTGGTTAATGGAATATGAAGGGAGATGAGGACGGTTCACCTCAGTGCACATGGCATGTCGGATCTTAGCTGTGAAGGTCTGAACTGGTGGAACAAGGGAATGTAGATCGTCAGAACACGTGTCATGGAAACAGTGACAGAGTAGCCAGAGGCTTGCAACGTTTCATCTTCGGGGAAAGTGGTTGTAGGATGGAAAATAATTCATCACCCACAAGACTAAGTAACTCCAGCCAAGATATGGCAGCAGCACTCCATTTTGAGTCTGATCTGGTTCTTGATATAGAGCATATCAAGAGGAGTCTGCTACTTAATGGGGTGATAATTTTTTTAGGATCTTTAGCATTGGATCGCATATTCGAGTTCCCCTTAAGGTCTAATTGATTGACTGTATTTTTACAGCTTTTAAAATTATTTAAAGCCAGAAAATATTTTTAGATTGTAAATTTTTTGTGGGGAATGGGGAGGAAGATAATAATGGTTTAGTGATACAAGTCTTGCTAATTAACCCATAGCTGGGGGAGAAGATGTGGATTCCTACTTTTCCTAAAGGTATTTGCGCGTAAGTGAATATAACGAACCCAACGGGAATTGGAACTCGGCTCTCCGATAAACAATTCCGAGCCATTATCCATTACACCACCCGCACATCCAAGTTTACAGGACCTGGTGTTCTCAAGCGGTCACCCATCGAGGTATTGACCAGACTCGGCGTTGCCTAATTTCGGTGGTCAAAATGGTGTTTTAACGTGTTAAGTCCCAATGGGTGTTCAAGACAAGGGGCGCCCTTGATTAATTTTTCCCATCATTAAGCCAAGGACGTATTGATAAGCCGACCTAGGGAAGTGGATCAGTAAGTCCGTAGCTTCACACATAGCTGTTAACTCAATTATGGATGTAGAATTTTCAGTGTACAATGTTCGGTCAATACGATTAATATTCAGCAACGGATTACCGTAATCCCCCATGAATAATACGCATTTTTTTCTAAAAAAAAAAAAATCAAAGGTGCGTATTATGCACAGGAAAAAAACTCTTTAAAAATTAGATTTAAAATAAAATAAGAATTATCATAAAAGTAAATTAGAAAATATTTTATTTATATTATTCGGACTATTGTCCTCATCTTTGTCGCCATATCTATCACAACGTTTTTCAGCCGTTTGTACATTTCTATATTTCTTTCAGGTGGTTGGAATGTCGAACTGAACCCTTTATTTCGCTCACTGGGGTAGACTGTTCTAGTTCCACGTGCCATGTTTGATGGATGTCAGTTATCTCCTGTTAATTCCAACCACCTGAAGAAGGCCGGAGCGTACAACGGCCGAAACGTTGTGATAAATATGGCGACAAAGATGTGGACAATAGTCCGAATAATGTAAATAATGTACATTATACCTCATCTCAGAAATATAGACAGACTTAGAAAAACACTATTCGATTTTTAAAACCATTTTTTTAAACGCTGGCCGTTATGAAATTGGAGAGGTACAATTTATATTACCAAACAAGGGATGCGTATTATGCATGAGTAAAAGCATTTTCCCATACTTTCAGCACAATTTTAGAGGTGCGTATTATGGATAAGGGTGTGTTATACATGGGGAATTACGGTAAGTAAGTTGATAGAAAAAGGCAGTTTTATTGAAAGGCAAATATTCGTTGAGTAAAATGAATTTTTCTTTATTAGACTATGGACTTATTGATCCACCTACGTAGTGTTCCAGGCCGTTTCTTGATGCAACATTAGGCATAAGTTAACGGGATATCTCTTATTCCAT